CCCGTGAGCCATGGCCACTGAGCCTGCGCGTCCGGAGCCTGTGCTCCACAACGGGAGAGGCCACAACAGTGAGAGGCCCGCGTACTGCAAAAAAAAGAACCAATAGTTTTAATGTTTTCGGAATTTAGGCAGGTCCCTTTCGAAATTAAAAAATAATAAAATGGGACAGACATAATTCTTTAAAAGATTGACAGTTCAGCCTCCAGAGAGATAAACTAGTCATTTGGTCAGTCTCGTAAATCATCTGATACATGTAAGACAGACACTGATCTTTATGAGTTAAGTTCTACTCGACTCTTCTAAACTGAGTTTAAATTACAGATTACAGTGATTTTCACCAAAAGAATATCTAGGAAGAACATAATAATAATAACAATAATAATGCAATAAATATATTTTATAGTTTTTTTAAATGTAAAGTTCCTTCTTTCTCCTTATTTATGACTTTGCTTGAAGTGATGCGCATGGGCTACACTAAGGTAAACTGGTACGCAGGAATAAAGGGTGCAGGGAGAATGGAGAAGGGAGATGCACAGCTCCTGGCCATTAACACGTAGAATGCTTTTGTGTGGGCTTGTTTTGTAAGAGAACAGCCTTATTCTTGTGGCTCCAAAATGTCTAGAACCAGTGTCTAATGTCCAGAACCAACTAAATGCCAACATCTAACAGCTGCTACTCTCTGGCAAGAAGTCTGAGGCAATCTAACAAAGATCATTAACTGTGGCCAGAAGTCATTTTGCTCTTTGGATAGGATCACAAAGAGAATATGGTGGAGAGGAGCAAATAATAACTTTCTTCCACATTTAATAAACACATTTTTAGTATTCTCCAACAACTCACAATAAAGCTTTTTTTTTTTTTTTTTTTGGCGGTATGCGGGCCTCTCACTGTTGTGGCCTCTCCTGTTGTGGAGCACAGGCTCCGGACGCGCAGGCTCAGCGGCCACGGCTCACGGTCCCAGCCGCTCCGCGGCATGTGGGATCTTCCCGGACCGGGGCACGAACCCGTGTCCCCTGCATCGGCAGGCGGACTCTCAACCACTGCGCCACCAGGGAAGCCCCACAATAAAGCTTTTAATAGTTAAAATTTCCAGTGATCTTCTATCTCTACATTGTAATAATCTGAAAATATTACAGAGTCAATTTTTATTAAATCCACATGAGACAGTGTCAATATTCCACTGATGTACAATACAAGCTCTAGCTTACATGTAATTTACTTTGGGAGGCTTTCTTGATACTCTTCCTTACCTTCCAGGCTGAGTTTGGTGCCCTTCCAATCTCAAAATGCTTTATCACACTGCTTTTTAATTATTTACATAATTTTAATTGATTTGTCTTACATACTGTACTACCCCGACAAAACGCGCGCGCGCGCACACACACACACCCCTCTCCAAAGGCAGAGCCTATGTCTTTGTTGTTAATGTATTTTTGGCTCACTCGAAAAGTACCCAGCATGTACCAAGCATTCAATAAATATCGAACTGAAATGATTTACTTACTGTCCACTACTTAATTTCTCTCTAATTGTGGAAAAATCCATAGGCTTCTTAATAACTTTCTTATAACCAGGAACAAGTTTCAAGTTTACAGGAAGTAGAAAAGGCCATGCATCCTCATGAGTTTCCATTTCAGTAAGGATCATACTAAAGAAAACAATGTCTGAAATCAGTATCTATGCTTTAGAAATATCTATTTTTATTAAAAAGTTACCTTTCATAATCTTTCAAGTAAAAAATGCAAATTAATTTATTTAAAAAGATAAAAGAATATATTTACTTATACTATAGACTTTCATTTACTACTTACACAAATTGTCAAAAAGTTGCCTTTAGTATGGCAGAAGATTTCTAAGCAAACGAAATAGGAAGTTGTAAATATACAGTACATGAAAACTGAAATAGTACCTGCAAAGAGCTAGGTCCTTGGAGTCATCTCTTTTAGGTTTCTTAACAGAAGTAAAACTTTCTTGTTTTGACAAACTAATAGAAGTATTTTCCTCCATTTTTCTTTTTTTCAGGTCTTTGATTCCTCTTTTTAATGAACTACTTGTAGATGCAGAGTCTTCATCCTCAGTATCCCCTGTTAAAGTTACTTTCTTGCCTTTTTTTGACTCAGTCTTTTTTCCTTTGACATGAAGTTTTTTGATTTTTAGAGTTTGACCACTTGCCTTTAATTTAAAAAAAAAAGGAAATGAGGTATAAGAAAAATAACTGTCTACAGGCCTTTTATTATTTTAAGTTAGGAAAGCCTGACAGGGCCAACAAAAAGAATATTATCTCTGATCTCGAAGGTTGATCATTTTATTATTTTCAAGAGAGATCTATGAATTTGTTCTCCCATAATATGAGGCAAAAATCTAATAAAGCGTGAAAAATTTATTTTAGGAATTCTTAAAATCTGAAGATGTTGATCTCATGGTAATCCATCTTTGGAACTATAGAACTTATCAGCAGTATTTCTTTAATCTAGGTCAGTGGACCCCAACCTTTTTGGCACCAGGGACCGGTTTCACGTAAGAAAATTTTTCCATGGACGGGGGATGGTTCAGGCGGTAACGTGAGCAATGGGGAGGATTGGGGAGCGGCAGATGAAGCTTCACTCGCTCCCTGCCACTCACCTCCTGCAGTGCGGCCTGGTTCCTAACAGGCCACCGAGGTAACAGTCTGAGGCCTGGGGGTTGGGGACCCCTGGTCTAGGTCACTAACTGAATGAGTTTTAAAGATACAAAAGTACTATCTTTTGGAGCACAGTATAATTAAGAACAAAGGTTGAATATAAACAAAAATATAGATCTTATTAATAAGAAAGTTGAGATAATTAAGAAGCTAGGCCAAAACAAGGAAAATAGCTCATGAAGTGTCCAATAGAGAAAAAGTCCTTTGTAAATGATCAGATCTACTGGAAATTGATATTTCTTTCTAGATAAAGAAAAAAAGCATTTTCTATAAGAATAGAGTTCCACAAACTTGTGGTTACCAGATGTGAACAAAGCAGAGGTGAAGGAAGAGGGAAAAAAATGTCTGTTTTTGAGGAAAGCAATAAAGAAATAGTATAAAAGAGATTATATTTGGAATCAAAGAATATGATTTCCAGCTATGGCACTGTCGGTAACTAGCTATGGAACTTTGTACAAAAATATCTGTGAGTCCCTGTTTTCTAACCTGTAAAATAAGAAAGATAAGTCACACAATTCGTACGGTCATTCTAGCTCTAAAATTACACGGAAAAAAACAAACAAACAAACAAATCTTCAAAAAAACTCAACATGGCCTTACGCAATCTAACTACAACGTACAGGTAGCACACTGATGTAACAATAGCTGCCCACCACACCCCTCAACCTAGAAATAGCGAAATAAATCTGTATTTTCAGATTTTACAATACTACAATAAATATATCAGATCACAGAAGAATATCAGTGCAAAGACCCTGTAATGTATGGTTTTTGTTTTAATTTTCCGGAACAGTGTTTATCCTCTTTTAGCAAATTATTTCCTCTCTTACCCAGACTATTAAGAAATCTTAGACTTAAGACTTAGGGTCAGATAACAATCAGCTGTAATTTAAAGTTGGATGTATCCTTGAAATGAATTTGGCTGAAAAATGTTTCTCTGGAGTATTTCATACCAATTTCTTTGAGGATTTCAGGACCTCTTCTAGCATTATTTTTAAAAATTGCTTTTAATCAAGCAATTAAAATTATTTGTTTCTCTATTGGTAGGTTAAAAGTATAGTTAAAGAGATATTTTAATTGACTAAAATAATAAAACAAACCATAAATCTAACATCTTCCCCATACCATATGAAAGAATCACTACCCCTTGAAACTAACTGGAATAATTACAATGCTTTACTAAGTCTCTTCTCCATTTAGCTTATTCATTTTTATTCACTAAAATCTGATTATTTTGAGTTTTTATATTACACTGAGATTTTAGCACTATGAAATCATAAAAAAAGAGAAAGAGAATGCTTAGTTCATGAGGAAAAGGTCTATTTAATGAAGATTAAATTAAGTTAGATTGAGTAATTGTGTTACTTAAAAAGAACAAAATTTCATGAATAATGGGTCAAAATTTCTAGTTCCTATTTGAACGAAAATACTATTGGGTTGGCCAGAAAGTTCATTCGGGTTTTTCCATAAGATGTTACGGATCCCAATACTTGGGATCATATTCTAACAAATTAATACTCATAGTAAGAAAACATGAAATTTAAATCCACAGAAATAAAAACTTTTGCGATGTTTTAAAAAGACAATGAAGCCTCTCTCTTTCTTTTATAAATGATGTTTATCAGCTTACCTCATTAGATCATGCACATACACTTTCAAAAGCAAGCTTTTACACAGTTGCTCTGTTACTGATGACTTTGTTCTTGGACAGAGAAGTCCCCGTTCCCCACCCTTTCTATCTTATTAGAGCCCAAATCCAAAGAGGGACTTCAGGATATCTTAAGCCGAACCTATCAGACTACACATACAAGGGCTCATTTCTGTTATGCTTGTATATCTATATATCAGAAGTTGTGAACCGGTGGCTCAGAGGCTGTAAACAGCCCACAGAATGTGTTGTTGTTTGGCTCATAATGCTTGTAAAAATCCTGAATTTGTTGCCAACATTTAACATTTGGGAGGGCATGCATAAAAATCCATAATGAAATATTGGTAGATCCTGGAACACTGGGCCCACATGTCTACATGACGGCTCGAGTTGAGCAATGTCTGTCACACAGAAATGGGGCCATGGCTTGACTTTCCTGTTTGCTACAGTCCCAACTCTTTTGTGTTATTTGACTTTTGTAGGCACTGGAATTTAAAATTTCTTGTGTGTGTGTGTGTGTGTGTGTATATATGAGTGTGTATAAATATGTATATATACACACAGGCAAGTTTTTTTGATTCTGTGATCCTGAGAGAAAGTATATATATCTATCTTTAATATATATACATAGTGTATGTATATATATTGGCATGAAAACACACATATACACAGAATAAAAACAGTCACAATGACGTATGCAGCAATAGCTATTTGAGAGCAAGATGTATAATATAGATATTGGTAAATAACTGAATTACTGGAAAGATATTTTTAAAATCTTAACTTTAAAAATCTTTACCAAAATCCAATGTTTATAACATTTTTTATTGCTGTAAGAAACATAACACCTAATCTACCACATTTAAAAAACAAGAAAGCAGAGGCTTAGAAAGCTGCATTTACATAGAAAGGTTTAGATGAGATCATACACCTCACATCTTCTAGTCCATTCCTGGAATGATATATAGCCAGAATTCTAATTTAAGCAAATTTACAGAAAACAAAACCTCCTATAGCCTACCAGATGATACCCCCAAGAATTAAAACACTGATTTGTTAGTAATTCATAAAGTATTAGAGACACTTTTCTATAACTTGACATTTATGAAGTTAAAAGATAAGTTATGTACCACCAGGGAAGATTATTATTAAACTACATTAACTATATATAACAAAAATGATCAAGTAATGAGAAATAAAAAAGCAATTATTAGTGAATATGGTGCCATGTGAGACCTCTGCTATTTTGTAAAATATAGCCTAAAATATAATAAGGTATTAATATAAATATATCCCCCCCCAAAATAGATCACAGAATTTTAAACTCATAAAAACCTTCAAACACACAATATTTGATCCTTACAAATCCCTGCAAAGCAGATACGATTCCATTTTACAGATATAACTTTGAAGCTAAGAAAGCACTCCGTATTTATAGATCTGGGAGGTGAGAAAAACCAGCAAAGGAGACTGAAAAGGAGCAAAAGCAAGAAGAAAATCAGGTGAGTATGGTATCCTAGAAGACAAGTGAAAACAGGATTTCAAGGAGGAGGGGAAGTTCCATTCTATCAAATGTAAGTGATGGGTTAGATGAGATCTAAGCACTGATCATTGGACCGAGCAATGTGGAAGTCATTTGTGGGCATAGTAAGAGAAATTTTGGAGAAGCTGTGGAGATGAAAATATGACTGGAGTGAGTTTAAGAGTGAATCAGAGGAGAGAAATCAGAAAGAACCAGAACAGAAAACTTTCCAGTAAAGGGAAGGGGAGAAATGGGGGAAGTGGATCAAGGAAGAAGTGAGGCCAAAAGAGGGTTTTTGTTTAGTTTTTGTAAGATGGGAGAAAGAGTACCATGTTAGTAGGCTGATGAGAAAGAACCCAGTGTAGAAGGAAAAACTGATGATGCAGGAAAAGACAGAACTGCTGGAGCCATTCTCCTAAGGAGGTGAGAGGTGATGGGATCTGAAGCACAAGTGGGGTTATTGGCTTAGTTAGGGGCACACAAGCAGTTCATGGCAACAGGAGGGAGGGTAGAGTATGAGAGCCCAGATATAGGAAGGATGGTAGGTGTGGTGGTGGATGCTTGTGATATTTTCTTCTGATGGCTTCCATTATCATAGTGAAATGGGAGTAAGGTCATCAGCTGAGAATGAGGATGGAGGAGACAGTAAATTATCAGGCACCACTAAAGGCCCTCTTAGTCTTAAATTTAGAGGGGTGGGTGTTTTCTCCAGCCACATTCAAGATACCTTTGTATCTGTATATGTAGGTGCTGGAGAAGTCATAGAGTTGGATTAACTAGAATGATGGTTTTACCAAGTGAGAGAGAGGCACAGGAGCTAAGGGTGGATGCAGTGATTATAGGAGGAAAGAGAGGACATGAATGGGGAGAGGGACAGTGAAAAGGTCTTAAGATAAATGAATTGAAGGTCCTGATGAGATCAAAGAATTATTGGAGTTGGAGCACTAGAGGGAGTGAACAGGAAAGAAAGGAGGCAGTAGAGAGATGGATGCTTGAAACTGAGTTTATGAAGTGGTGGTAGTTACTGGTAGTAACTACGTAAAGAGATTAAACATGGAAGAGAGTGTCTGAGATAGGGAAAACCTAATGAAGAGTCTGGCCCTCAATACATTCTAACCCTTTCACACTTCTTACTCCTTACTTTATAATTCTAAAACCCATTTCTTTCTACTTTATCATAGTGCTACTCTTTAATCAATTAGTATTAGAATTCACAGGTTTCCAATTTATATGTGACTGGAAAGTGACTTAAAATACATATGCTTATTACCATATGACCTAGCAATTCTACTCTTAGGTATATAACAGAAAAATTGAAAACATATATTCATACAAAAACTTGGGTATGACTGTTCATAGCAGCATTATTCATAAAAGCCAAAATGTAGAAACAGCCCAAATGTCCATCAGCTGAACAGATAAACAAAATGTAGTCTGTCCATATAATGAAATATCATTTGACTTTAAAGATGAAGTGCTAGAACACAGATGAACCTTGAAAATATTGTGCTAAGTGAAAGAAAAAGGCCACATATTGTATGATTTGATGTATATGTAATGACAATAGGCAAACCCACAGAGATAGAAAATAGATTAATGGTTGCCAGAGGCTGAGAAGAGAAGGGGAATGGGGAGTGAATGATAATGTTTACAAGCATACTTTTTGAGGATCATGAAGATGTTCTGGAATTTGATAGTGGTGATGGTTGTCCAACTTTGTGAATATATTAAAAAACACTGAATTGCACACTTTAAAATGAATTTTACAGTATACAAATTATATCTCAAAAAAATCCCCATAAAACTCTTCATTTTGATCTGGCAATTAAAAAGTTTTAAGTAATAATACTACTTAAAAAATACTAAAATTTATATGGAGCCATAAAAGACCCAGAATTGCCAAAGTAATCCTTAGGGAAAAGAACAAAGCTGGAGGCGTAACCCTTCCAGACTTCAGACACTACTACAAAGCTACAGTAATCAAAACAGTGTGGTATTGGGGCAGAAACAGACATATAGATCAATGAAGCAGAATAGAGAACCCAGAAATAAACCCGCACACCTACAGTCAATTAATCTACAACAAAAGCGGGAAGAATATACAATGGAGAAAAATCAGTCTCTTCAGCAAGTGGTGTTGGAGAAGCTGGATGGCTAAGTCAATGAAATTAGAACACTCCCTCACACCCTCACACCATATATAAAAATAAACTCAAAATAGTTTAAAGACCTAAGCATAAAAGTCCTAGAAGAGAACACAGGCAAAACATTCTTGGACATAAATCATAGCAATATTTTCTTAGATCACTTTTCCAAGGCAAAAGAAATAAAAGCAAAAATAAATGGGACCTAATCAAACTTAAAAGCTTTTCCACAGCAAAGGAAACCAACAAAACAAAAAGACAACCTACCAGACTGGGAGAAAATATTTGCAAATGATGCAACTGACAAGGGGTTAATAACCAAAATACACAAACAGCTCATACAACTCAATATCAAAAACACAAACAACCCAATCGAAAAATGGGTGGAAGACCTAAATAGATATTTCTCTAAATAAGACATACAGCTGGCCAACAGGCATGTGAAAAGATGCTCAGCATTAAGCGTTACTAAGTATTAGAGAAATGTACATCAAAACCACAACGAGGTATCATCTCACACCAGTCAGAATGGCTATCATCAAAAAGTCTACAAATAATAAGTGCTGGAGAGGGTGTGGAGAAAAGAGAACCCTAGTACACTGTTGGTGGGAATGTAAATTGGTGCAGCCAGTATGGAAACCAGTATGAAGGTTCTTTAAAAAATTAAAAATAGAGCTACCATATGATCCAGGAATCCCACTCCTGGGCATATACCTAGAAAAGAAGAAAACTCTTAATTTGAAAAGATACATGCACCCTAATGTTCATAACAGCCCTATTTACAATAGCCAAGACATGGAACCAACCCAAGTACCCATCAACAGACAACCGGTTTAAGAAGATGTGGTACACATATACAATGGACTATTACTCAGCCATAAAAAAGAATGAAATATTGCCATTTGCAACAACATGGATGGACCTAGAGGTTATCATACTAAGCGAAGTAAGTTAAAGACAAATATCATATCACTTATACGTGCAATCTAAAAAACAATACAAATGAATCTATATGCAAAACAGAATCTACATACAAAACAGATTTCTAGAAAACAAACTTATGGTTACCAAAGGGGAAAGGTGCTGGGGGTGGTGGTGGGGAGGATAAATTAGGAGTATGGGATTCACAGATACAAACTACTACACATAAAATAGATAAGCAACAAGGATTTACTGTAGAGCACATGGAACTCTATTCAAAATCTTGTAATAACCTATAATGGAAAAGAATCTGAAAAAATATATATAACTGAATCACTCTGCTGTATACCCGAAACTAACACAATATTGTAAATCAACTATACTTCAATAAAAAAAAATTAGTTTTAGATCAGTCTTACCTTAGCAATGCAAGCTGGACAAAACCAGTCCCCATCTGGTATAGTTGTAATCTTGGGTCTATGGCAGTATGTATGACAGCCTTTGTCACAGCCATCGCAAAGGAGGAGCAGTTCTTCATTATCTCCCTTTCGACAGATCTGGCAGTACTATAATACATGGAAAATCATTTAAAATTAACACTCTGCTACAAATAATAGTTTTTGGGATATTAAACACACCATTAATGCCTAATTTATATTAGTAATGAACATTCCGCTTGCTAACAAATATACAGTAGCCATACACATCTATGTATCTCTCGTTACACAGATATGGACCACATGATGGGGTGAGCAGTTCAGTTGGGGTAAATGCACATTTCAGGTACACTGCAAAAAACAAAGCTAGAGGTTGAATGCCTGCACACACTTCAGAAGCATGTACACATTAACATACAAAATAGTTAACATGACATTAGAGCACATAAAGCAATGAATAGCTTTAATACATGGTGTTTTAATTTTTTAATATATTTCATCGTTTGCTTATCTTAGCATCCTCATGATATCCTGAGAAAGAAATAAGTAAGAGTTAGAGTAATTTTTAAGATCAAAATTAGGAACATGTATTAGTAACAGAATTATAAATAATAATAATAAGATGTCACTGTATTTTGACTATGTCCAAATCAGGAAACTTTGGAAATCAACCCAAATCAAACATGTGTCACAAATGTAGAAAATGGATCCTACAAAATGATTTCTAAGGGAAAAAGAAATTGATACAATAAATTAAATAAAAGAATTTAGAAGTCATAATTTATTTTCTAGGGCTAAAAATAAAATTGTTCCTTCTCTGTTGAAAAACTTCTAATACCATTAAGAACTTTAAAATCTATAAAGAGATTTTTTTCCCCCATGCACACATATTCTGTATAACAAGTTTCACAAAGGGAAAGAAGGAAGATTAGACAGGTAAAAACTTTAAAGATGGCTTTAAAAAATGGTAAGTACTAACATTATATTTTGACATTTAGTTTTTATTTCAGTCACAGTAGACAATGTCCTGTAATCAATATTCCAAAAAATGAAAACATTACTAATATAATATTGTACAACTATATTTCAACTGAAAATAATTAAAACATTTAAATTATAAATCATTTGTACTAATTTTAAGCTATGTATTTATATACTGTTAAAAACAAAATAGCTTAATTGTTCAAACTTACTTTAATTTCAATAAAACATTAAATCTTAATCTGGGAATGTCTAAAATAGTCTTTCATAACTCAATACGTACACCAATGATAGCTTAAGAATCTTATCAAAACAGCAGATACATGCTATTCACCTTAACAAATATCTATCAAATATACGTAATATACATGTAATACTAAAACTGGCATGTGTGCTAAGAGCAAAAGCAGTAGAGTTTAATATCCCAGCAGTAAGTATTTATTTTATGACCTTTCCTGATAACCACATCACTAAATACCTTAATATGGTGTTATTTCTCCAAATTTGAGTTATTTCTTTAAAATTTCTGTTATAAAAATACTCATTGAGAAGTAACATTTCGAAGGTTATATTTCAATCCATATAACAATAAATTTTAAAAATCAGGTTCATGAACATTAAGTAAATTCTCATTGTTTTCTACAATAGCTAAAAATACTATGAAGCCTGTCTTACATCTCACATTTATGATTTAAAAATAAAATTATTTTCTGATACTTATTAAGAAAGGGTGGCAGGTATCAAGTTCATAACATTTTTGAAAATCCACAGTAATAGCTCACAATATGTTAGAGCAAATGTAGTAATATTTGGTTTTAACTCCTTTGCTACCACAGTAAAAAAAAACAGTGGATGTTGCCGATTGCTTAACATTAACAACAGAAAACATATTGTGGGCAGAGAAGTATCTGGAGGCAAATCATGGCAGCTCCTTCTTTCCTAGTAAGCATGGTTTCTGGTAAAGAGGATATTTCTAAAGACATTGAGCACTTTAACATTTTTTTTTAGGACTTCTAATGAGGATTATTATAGGTTTTGTTACATTTCTAATTCAAGGTTACCAAGTGCTCATTAATCTTTGAATAAGAAACTCTGCCTTCTTTTCAAAGTAGTTTTATAGCAAGTAATGTATTATTAAACATTAAAAAAAGAAATAAAAATTATGAGATGGAGTTAAATAATGATGAATGTATATTAATTTATTAATAACAATGGAAAAGAAGTTTGCAAAACCTGAAATAAAACCTTAGATTGCAGAAAGTAAGCACACTAATATAAAGGTAGATTTTGGTACAAGTTTTGGGTTTCTGTGTACAGGTTATAACAAAACTGCCTACATTGTGATGATTGTTTTGGTGTAGATGAGAAAAGTAACTGTACAAATTTCATTCTGATATAGGAATTGAATCTTTTTTTATCATTATAGCCTACATTTCACCAAATATATTTGTCTAAGGTGACTTTAAAACTGGTTTTAATAATAATTTTTAGAAGGAAAATTATTTTTACCTGGTAAAAATGCTACCAGATGACCTGAACAATGCCTTAAAACTTATAGTAAATTCTAATCTATATAGGGAAAGACCTAAATTTGAGCATATTGTGAAAACTGCAGATTCATTATTCCATGGACATTTTAGAAAGAAGTGAAAAAAACCATAGAAGAAAGCAAATTTATTTGTATAGAATGAATAAAGTATTGAGTAGTCTAAGTATAGAGGTAAAAAGGAAGGCGAGAATGCTAAATTATTTAAGAATCACTTCTTTTCTTTGAGGAAGATTATTTAAAATAGGTATTTTACCCTTAGTCATTCATGAAAACAAATCTCAAATGTTTGAATTTTAAAGCTAACCTGTAATTCAAAAGCAACTGTTAAAGTGATTCATAAAAGTCTACATATAATAGATATTTCTGTATATGATACAAAAGAGGCAAAAAGGACACGTACATGATTTAAAATAAATCTCTCTCTGGAAAATATAAGAAATATAGCTTTTATTTTGAACATATAGCATTTGTTGCCTAGTACAAAGTAGAGGCCACTACATGATAACTAACTGGGCTTGAACAAAGAAGGAGAAAAAACATTTTTAACTGTTAGAGGAAAGACTAAAAGATCTACTCAATGCCAACTATATCCAAATATTGGGTTGGCCAAAAGGTTCGTTCGCTTTTTTTCCGCAAGATGGCTCTAGTAACACTTAGTTGTCTATAAGTTCATTCAAAACAATTTTGTTAGATTGTATGTGACACCTATCATATCAGCGTGCATTTTAAAAAAGCCTCATCAAAATTGGTGAATTTTTGTGTAGCCATTTTAATACTGAAGATGGAAGAAAAAAGGCAACATTTTCGGCATATTATGCTTTATTATTTCAAGAAAGGTAAAAACGCAACTGAAATGCAAAAAAAGATTTGTGCAGTGTATGGAGAAGGTGCTGTGACTGATTGAACACATCAAAAGTGGTTTGTGAAGTTTCACGCTGGAAATTTCTCACTGGATGATGCTCCACGGTTGGGTAGACCAGCTGAAGTTGACAGCGATCAAATCAAGACATTAATTGAGAACAATCAACATTATACCATGCGGGAGATAGCCAACATACTCAAAATATCCAAATCAAGTGCTGAAAATCATTTACACCAGCTTGGTTATGTGAATCGCTTTGATGTTTGAGTTCCACATAAATTAAGCAAAAAACCCCTTCTTGACCGTATTTCCTCATGCGATTCTCTGCTTAAACATAACGAAAATGTTCCATTTTTAAAACACATTGTGACGGGTGATGAAAAGTGGATACTGTACAATAATGTGGAATGGAAGAGATAGTGGGGCAAGCGAAATGAAACACCACCAACCACACCAAAGGCCGGTATATGGTGGGATTGGAAGGGAGTCCTCTACTATGGGCTCCTTCCAGAAAACCAAACGATCAATTCCAACAAGTACTGCTCCCAATTAGACCAACTGAAAGCAGCACTCAACAAAAAGTGTCCAGAATTAGTCAACAGAAAATGCATAATCTTCCATCAGTATAATGCAAGACTGCATGTTTATTTGATGACCAGGCAAAAACTGTTACAGCTTAGCTGGGAAGCTCTGATTCATCCAGCTTATTCACCAGATATTACACCTTTGGATTTCCATTTATTTAGGCTTTACAAAATTCTCTTAATGGAAAAAATTTTAATTCCCTGGAAGACTGTAAAAGGCACCTGGATCAGTTCTTTGCTCAAAAAGATAAAAAGTTTTGGGAAGATGGAATTATGAAGTTGCCTGAAAAATGGTAGAAGGTAGTGGAACAAAAGGGTGAATACGCTGTTCAATAAAGTTCTTGGTGAAAATGAAAAATGTATCTTTTATTTTTACTTAAAAACCTAAGGCAATTTTTTGGCCAACCCAAAACATGATATTGGTGCATAAAGGAAGAGTTCTCTGCTTATTCTGTATTTACTTAGCTAAGTATTTCTGGCATTAAGAAAAGAAAATTGATACAAATATAGATATTTTAGAAATGAAGTGAACGTACTTAGCAGGTAATGTTAGCAACTGGAGTGTTTACAAGATTGAAAGGGCCTTCAAAACATTCAGATTAACAACTATTATGTTGACAGAATGGAGAAGACAACTTCAGTCAGGGTTATAAACAATATTCAAAGGAGAGAAAGACAAGATTTAAAAAAACGAAAGATAACATTTGGTAGGTTCCTTCAAAAAGCTCAAAATAAGGAGGAAAGTATCAAACTATACAGTATTTAAGAATTAAGGAAATTCTCAAGTACAGCGTACATTATTTTGACAATAAGTAATGCATAATTAAGAAATATCTGAAGATTGGAATAAAAAACAGGACAAAGTAAATTATAGTATTTCTTAAATAAAAACACTTACAACTTTCATAATTGATTTTTCCCATGCTACTGATTTCTGTAACTGCTGAATGCACAGAGCTACCTGTGCAGCACTGCGAGCTTCTGATAATGCCCTTCTCCATACCCTGAGCCCTGGAGCAATATCCTCTTCAATTCTGCATTGAAATATAGAAAAATTAAGTAGGTCACGTCCACATTTATGGTTACTGAATGTGAAACAATCATCACACTGAAAGCCAAGCAATGACAAAAACATGTAACAGCCAATAAGTATAAGGTTTAAGCAACTAAATTTGATGTAGTGCACAGACTGTGGCTACGTGCCTCAAAGCTTAGTCACAACCAGGTAAATGTAAGATCACTTTGCAGGATTATCAACGCACATAACAACAAAAAAAATGTTTTTACAAAGCACCATGCAAACAGCATGATCCATATGGATCACAGACATACAAGAAGATACATAGATAACAGGCAATAGAAAATAGGCTCCAATTAGCAAAGAAGCACAATAATTTTTCAAGTTAATCTCAATAACCTACCCGTCACCATCACCACTAATGGATGGTGCAGGAGCAGGGACAGTAACTGTGCCCACATTATCCAGTTTGATCTGAATGGTGGTACTTAAGGGGCTCTTCAGATACCTTCTTTCAATGTTCCGCTCCAAATCAGCCAGCCTGGTTACAGCTATATCTAGGGGGTTGTCACTCTTCCGTTCCAGTGCATGTGCACTGCTTTCTTCTTCGCCAGTAAATTCTCCATCATGCTCCTTGCACAATTTAGAAAATGACTTATGTTCAAAATATACCAAGTCCTCCCTTTCTGATGCAGGCTCTGGACACATCCAACCCTATATATCAAAAGAATAATGTTATTATGGTTTCCTCTTAAAATGCCTGCTGGGTGAATTACCTTTACTTAAAATACAGCAGCAGACACGAGCAGACCTTAAGGATCTTTACTAAAAGTTTTTATCTTGTGTTTCCTAATGCTAGGTAGAAACAAGAATAAAAAATTAAAAGAAACAGTTGTGAGAAGTTTGAAGAAGCAAATTTAATAACTTTTGATATTATGAAAGGTATAATGAAAATCAGCAAAGTATTCTGAGAGACTTTAGACTACATGCTTATTCATTTCAACAGAAATCTCTCCGTGGTCTCTGAATTTAGCTCTTCCTTTCCATTTCCATTCCTTCTACCACTCTTCAGTACAGGGGTCTGTACAATACTTACCATTTTTCCTCCAGCCGTAGGAGTTTGCCTTTGTCTGTTGCTATTTGTCTGTAGAGCCTTTCCCTGTTGCTCTTAACCTGGTTAAATCCACTCATCCTGCAGCTGTCATTTTAAAAGTCCTCAGGGAATCCTTCTCTGACCTACTTTAGCAGGTAAGTCTCCATATTACAAGCCCACAAAGGACCATATAGTATGCCACAGCCTTGTGGTACTCACAATTTTTTACTATTGTGATTATTTGATTCACATCTTTTTACCTCTAAATTCCATGATGGCAGGGACCACGTTTGCTTTTACTCATTTTATCTCCAGCACAGTGAAAACAAATAGTAGGCACTCAATACACACATGTTGATTGAATAAGTGAATGATCTTATAACTCAGCTTGCTTTTATTGATCTTCTACCTCAAAATCCTTCAAAGCTTCCCTACTGTTTAACAAAGTCCATATTTTTATCATGACATTCAAGTACCTCAATCTGCCTCTTCCTCTCATGTTCCCGTTCACACATCCTACACTGCAAATTCCACAACTTGCAACTCCACAAACATGCCCTAAACTTCTGGATCCTGGTGCTCTGCTCAGGCTGTTCCCTCTTCCTAGTATGGCATTCCTTGTCAAAAGCTGACTCACCTTCTCAAGTTCCATCTCGACTTCTACGTGAAATGTTCCCTGATCTCTCCCATGTCTCCATCAGAAGTTATGTATTCTTTTTCTAAATTCATGTATGACTCTGTACTCCTCTAGGATCAGTTAACAGATTCTGTGGAGATGTATATATGACTTATCTCCCTATTCGATGACAAGATTTCTGACAGCAGAAACCACATTTTATCCAATTTTGTGGTGCCTACTGTCTGATGTGGAATAGGGGCTTAGTAAGTGCATATTAAATGAAAAACAGAATGAACATTATCCTTTTTATTAAACCTCTTTAGAGATAATTATTTTATCTTGTATATTAGGATCAATTCCTCTTCTTTAATTCAGTAGAACATTTATATTTGTGAAGTAAGGATGGAATTATGAATAGTACATGTAAGTGCATTAGGTACAAGTCATGTCAAATGAACCTCATTCCCATATTTTGAAAAGGGTACTAAATTGATAAATCAAGAGAACCCTGTAAACAGAGCATATCTTGATGTCTGCAAGGCAAATGACAAGACAAAATATGAAGACTAGATTAAAGAAATCTAGAGGGTTGAAAACTGCTTCCAAAAAATGGTGATTGACAGAACTTGTGTCACCTCAGAAAAGGCCCCCAGTGCCAATGTCCAAAAGGCTCTGTACTTGGTTTGTCCTGTTAATACACTTATGAGTAACTTGATTGTTATTAAATCTGCAGATGATTTAAAACTAGGAAGAAAATTTAATATTCTGTATAACAGGACTAAGATAAAAATAGTTCCATATGCTGCAAAATGTACCCACATGAAATTAATAAAAATAAAACAATGATAAATGTAAATTTTAGGTTTGAAGTTTAAGCAACTAATCACAGAAATATTGAATACTATATGTGATAGAACGCACTTAAAAGCTCTTTGAAAGAGGGCCAAAGTTTGTTTTTTCATAGCGTATACTCAGTGAAGCAAGAGTATGATGTGGATACTAAAAAGCTAGTACAAAATTCAAACAGCATTAATGGAAGTATAGGGCTGGATTAAGGAAAGTAAAAGTTCCATGAACACATTCAGACAGCGCTATGTACAGTTATGGATACAACATTTTAAGAAGGATATTAACACTGGTGTTTATACAGAAGAGAATCGTGTACATGGAAACTATTTCACAGGACTAATGGTTGAAGGAATTAATTAGCTTGTAAAAGAGAAAACTTAGAAAGAGACACAGGAGCTATCTTTAGAGGAGCTGGAAGAGTAATTAGGTTCTTTGTATACTCGCAACAACAGAACTAGGACAAGAGGCTTGCAGATTTTCCTACAAAATAATAAAGAATGTCCAAATTATAAGCAATATTAAAAATATAAATGAATGCACCTAAGTAAGTCCCACAGGCCACCTGTGTGATGTGTCTTCACAATGGCTAGTTCCCCACGTTAAACATATAACTCTATTTTCTTAAAAAAAAAAACATTAAATCTTCTATAGATGTTAAAATAATGTCTTGTGGTTATTTTCATCATTTGTGTTTTTAGACTCTTCAAGAATAATATAATTCATTTTTTCAGAATAATACAGAATAATTTAGTAATACCTTAATAACAGAATATTAAAACATTTCACTTAAAAAACAAATTCTGCTTTTCTTATATACTTAGAACACAGCCAAGATTGTCTAAGCAGCCAGTAATGTGATAAGGTTAATGCAGGAAAATATGAGTATGGCTCCAGGAAAATGTTTCAGGCCCACACCCTGACTTTATACTTAACGTAAAAAAGCTTGGGACTTCCCTGGCGGCACAGTGGATAAGAATTCACCTGCCAATGCAGGGGACACGGGTTCGAGCCCTGGTCTGGGAAGACCCCAGATGCTGCAGAGCAACTAAGCCTATGTACCACAACTACTGAGCCTGTGCACCACAACTACTGAACCCACGCACCTAGAGCCTGTGCTCTGCAACAAGAGAAGCCACCGCAATGAGAAGCCCGTGTGCAGCAACAAAGACCCAACTCAGCCAAAAATAAATAAAATTATATCTTAAAAAAAAAAAATCTTGGTGATATGTTTTCCCAACCAATAGCCAATTAGAACTGGCAAATTAGGTGGAGGAAGTTGGGGGAAAATTGGGCCAGTAGAACCAACCAAATTTAAACCAGCAAGTAGTAGCAACTGACCATGAGAGAAGACAGAAACAGACTATAGAAAGCAGACACAGTCGTTTAAAAGCAAAGCACACTAGGACCATTTAATGTAGGGGCAAAACCTCTTCACATTTCCTGAGGGAATCATCATCTAATAATTGGTCTTCGCACTAATGATCCTGTGTCACCAGGATAATTTAAATCAAACTCATTATTCTCAATTTAAGAAGGCAGCGTAATGTGTAACATAAGCGATCTGACAAACATGTTAAAAAATTATGGTGCTAAATGGAATAATTTTCATTTCTCTAGAAAAGTAACTTGGGTGGAAGACTTCATTTGTTGAAGATGCCAAATTAATGAGGCATTTTTATACTGTATTATAGTACTAGGAGGAAGATATAGTTTGCTAGCAAAATAGAGTCAACAAATGATAAATTTTGTTTCCCAAAGTTGGTAATTATGTTTGCGGCAAGAAAGGGATATGTTATTAGCTCTGGAAAGTGACATTTTTCAGAGAACTTCAAAAGTTTCCAAATGCCATAGGATAGTATTATGGCATAAGTTTCTCATTCTGAATAAAACATAAAATAGCAAATCAAATTACATGGATACTACATTTTCTAAACCTTTTCAGGTGTCTCATACTTATTCATCATCCATCCATTTATTCTCAGAGACATCACCTTATTATCAACTGAGAAGACTTTATATCTCTCTTACCAAAACTAAAAATTCTTGCACTAAGGTAAAGCTTTCCTTTTGCCTGTCCATTGGAAGCCAGTCTGATCATGATAATGCTTGTGACATGGTAATGCCCAGTAGATAAATAAATTTAAAATTTACATATATATGTAGGGTGTGTGGGTATGTGTATAATGATACAGTGTATATTTGGATATATCTATATTCTCCAATTTTAAATTATATAGAGCGAAATTTTGACATACAACGTAGCTTGATGCAAGGAGGTCCTCTATATGAAACAGTATAGTAGGAATTTGATAGAGCATTATATTTATCATGGGTAAAACTAGAAAGGACACTTTTGAATACCATTAAGGAGGCAGCAAGATTTGGTAAAAAGAACACAGGTTCTGGAGTCAGACAGACTTGGATGAATACACACTTAGCTTACGATATGACCACTGGCAGGTTACTTACTTTGAGCCTTGTTCCTTACCTGTAAGATGGGGGAAATTAGTTCAGGATCATTTTGAGAATTAAATGAGATAAAGTGAAAACATTTAGCAGAGTAACTGGCACATATCAGGTATACAACAAATAATAGTTACCTTCCATCATCCTTAAAACAGATTTCATTCCAATCAATTTTACCTTCACTTGCAAACTTGCTGATGCAACTCTCCTTTCTAGATCTTCTACCTGTTGAAGAATACTCAAATCCATTTCCATTGCTTGTTCTTCTACTGACCAGTTCTCCACAATATCTCGAGTTACCTGGTTTTCTTCATGTTCATTTAATTCAATAATAGCAACTATATTTGAAAAGAAATTAATTTTAAAATCCACTTTATCCCTCAATGATTTCTTCTAAAAAGTGAATAAGGTTCCAGGGATAACATATACGTGTAACTTAACACACACAAATGTACTTGTGCATACACAGGCAGATTACTCTTAAAAGTAGGAATATTCTTTTTTAAGAAACAAAACAATATGTCTGCAGGCTGTGAGAAATTATAAGAAAGTAATACCTATTTAAGGAATGTAAAGAGTTACTGTTTGTTGAACAAAAAAGCCTATTAGTAATAAATTAAGAATTAGGATATACTAAAATATGTTTTAAGATAAAAGAACTAATTCTCATAACTAAGCAAGAGAGCAGAAGTCTCTTTTAGGTACATACCATCCTTATTTTTGATGCAAGCTTGAGTAATATAATCCAAGTGTTTCTGAATTTGTTTTTGTAACGCCTTTTCTCTTATTCCTCTGAGGTGGAGCACTTTGAGCAAAGCTTTTAGGTCCTCTGGGTCAATAATTCTCCACCAACCAAACTGCATTTCTAAGTTAAGATAAATATGTAGATCTTTTTACAAATATTTTGAATATAAATTAATGGCACAATGCAAATCAGAAGACTTATAACTATGTAGAAAACCATCAAAGATTCGGTTATAATGCAGGAATCTATAACAATAAAATAAAGTAAGTAAGTGGCTATAAACCATCTCAATGTACCTACCTTCTGGAATAGGTTTTGGATTAGGAAAATCTACTGGTTTTGCTACTTCAACAGCTACAGGTTGAGTTGAAGAGACTTTTTCATTCTGTGGTACTGGAGATTCACTTTTACTTGAAGCAACATTAGGAGTCAAGAATGAATTACTATTTCCTTCTGGTAATCCCAACCCTGATCCAAGACTAGGTAAAGGTGATGTAAATGGATTGCTGGAAGTAAGCACACCGGTGGGCCACCCACAAAACTGGAGTCCCATCATAGATACTCCACTTTTCATCTGCAAAATAAACCAAAACATTTTAAAAGTAGAACAATCTAAGAAGTTAGGAAAAGTGTTTAGAACCAGAAATTATTTATAAAATTCGGAAAAAAACATTCTTTCACTTATCACAATTAGAGGCATACGTCATTTCATTTGCTCCCCAAGTAATTTCTTTTTAGATATAATGCAACAGTAATAAGTTAAAAAGTAATTAAGGAAGGCTTTGACTTAGACATCAGTAGTTCTGATGAAGCTTGGTGATAGCAATTCTGACTCTTCAATTTTCAAACCGTGGCAGAGATAATATTATAAATATTTAACTGATTTCCCTTGAGAGAAAATCTTTATGGGGTCAAAGATTAAATAAAGCAACATAAAAATGAGTTACAATTAGCAGTACTAACCTGAAGAGGTGATAAAGCAAACGGATTTAGGCCAACAGGATTCTGAGCAGAAGATGATCCAGGAAGAGGAGCTGGGGCAGGCGAAGGTGACTTAGATGGTGGCTGAGACTGAGGGGCCACTAAAGAAGCAGTTGACATACCTGCATGGGTAAGTGATGTGTCATCACAAGGTGTCCTTGGCAAAAGGCTAAACCACTGTCTATTCTTTTCAGTCAGTGTTTTTAACAACTGGTCATTGGGGAGAGGACTATAGAACTTCCCTGGACCACCTGAACTGGTATTGAACAGATTATTAGAGTCTGTCTTTTCCACGCTGCTTTGTGTTGCTGTTGATTGAATGCTGCCCAATGAATGTTTTCCACTGTTTTGATAAGACAATGTGCACCCATTTGCACTACTGTTTGGTTTGGGGGTTATTACATCTGACTCAGGAGGCATCTTAGCTACTTCTAAAAGCTTGCTTAATTTTGAAAATGAACCAGGTTTCTGAAGAAACAGATTTGTGTTATCTTTTTCTTTAGTATCTTCCTTTTGCTCACAGTGATTTGGATTTGAACAATTTAAAGTGTCCTCAGAAGTCTCAAATATTTCTTCTTTGATCTGGATACTTTCTGCCTTTTTTAGTTTTTCTCTTTCTTTTGCAATTTCTTCTAGTCCTAAAAAATTGAAAAGCATTATTAAGATCAGTTACTCCAGATCAAACCAATACTATAATGATATTCTTTCATTACTTATCAAGTTATATGCATAAATATTTTAGGAAACTTTTCTAGATTACTTAATACTCCCCATTTTCCCCTTTTTTATAGATTAGATTCTTTTGCTCATTGGAAAATTAATGTAATTTTGTGACTAAGCTTTAGAAAAACTAAAATATAAAAAATTTAAAAGCCCTAATACACAGCAAAAATTATTATTAATATTTTTGTCTAAATCCTTCCAGGCATTCTATATGTACACACATACACACTTAAACCTATAAATTAAAAAAAAAAGGAAATCTTATTATATACATAATGCCTAACCTACATGTTTTTCTCTGTAAACATCCTGACATGTCAATAAATATATAACTACATCATAAATTTTAATGGCTATAGAATATTCAATAGAATATATCATAATTTAAATAATCAATCTTCTACTGATGGTTATTAATAGGGCCCAGTTATTCACTATTATAAAAAATGCTATAAATGATTTACTGAGTCCTAAGATATATACTTTTCAGAGTTTTTGAAATATGTTGTCAAACTGAAAGTCTAGATCAATGCACATTCATACCAGAAGCAAGAGCATCTGTTTGCCTACACCCTCAAGGAAACTAAATACTATCAGTATTTTTTGTTTTTGTCAATATCTGGGAGATAAAAATCTAAGCTGCATTTTTTTTTCTGATCTCCAGTAAGGCTGAGTATCTTTTCATGGGCTTACTGGCATTTCTCCTTTGTGAACTTCTGGTTCATATTTTTGAACAGTGTTTTTAAAATAATTTATAAGAACTCTTTAAAAATATAAATCCACTACTTTATTCAATTTGAAAAGTAATATATGTCCAAGGTAAAATATTCAGTAATGAGAGGTATAAAGAAAACCCTTTCTGCCCTACTCGCTTAGTCCCTATTTCTACTCTTCAGAGGTAACCATGGTTAATCTATCATATCTATATATCCTTCTGGAAATCTTACATGCATCTATAGGAATATCATTTTGCAGTATTACATAAATGGATACTACCCTTCACTTTTCTGCAACTCAGAATAAAATCCAAACTCCTAAGCAAGGCCTACAATGCTGTATGGTCTGGTTCCTGAAAATTCCTACAACCTCTGACCACTCTTGTCCTTGCTAACCTTGCTCTTCCTTTCTTCCTTTTTTTCAGCTTCCCAAACATACCCAGTTCTTTCCTTTTCTGGGCACTTTGCACTTGCTGCTCCCTCTGCCTGGGATATTGTTTTGTTGACTGGCTCCTTATCCTTCATGTCTCAGATCAAGTCATTTCCTCACAGAGGTTTTCTCTGATCATTTTATCTGAAGTACGTTCCCTATTCCATTCACTTGATTTATTTGTTTTCCTGACATATGGTTGACGTACAATATTAGATAAGTTACAGGTATATAATGTAGTGATTCACAATTTTTTTTTTTTGCGGTACGCGGGCCTCTCACTGCTGTGACCCCTCCCATTGCAGAGCACAGGCTCCAGACGGGCAGGCTCAGCGACCATGGCTCACAGGCCCAGCCGCTCCGCGGCATGCGGGATCCCCCCAGACCGGGGCACGAACCTGTGTCCCCTGCATCGGCAGGCGGACTCTCAACCACTGCGCCACCAGGGAAGCCCGTGATTCACAATTTTTAAAGGTTATACTCCATTTACAGTTATTTAAAAATATTGGCTATATTCCCTGTGTTGTACAATACAGCCTTGTGTCTTATTTTACCCATTCACTTTAGAATATCATCCTACATATTTCCGTCACAGAATTTATCATTATAAACAATAACCTAATTATCTGTTTATTTTCTACTCCCACCCACTAGAATTTAAATCAGCAAGCTTTTAAAAGCAGAGCAATGTTTCTCTTGCTTATTATTGGATCCCAAATGCCTCACATGGTGGCTGCTATAAAATAGAAGCTCCATAAATATTTCTTGAACGATGAAATAAAAGGATGGATTTGATATTTTCACTAAATACCTTAGACAGTTTTCCATGCTAAAACATATAACTGTACTTCATTTTTTTCAATCAGCTGAATAATATTCTATTTTATGGATACATCATAACTTAACCAATCCTCTACTAATGTTTGAAATGGCTTTCACATGCTTCTCTTGAAATTAGTTTCTACCCCAAATTAAAATCCTATACTTCAGACTTATGCTTCTGGACAATATGGAATAATAGGGACTAGATTTACACTCTTGCATGAAACAACCAAAAAAGAGGCAAAATATATGAAACAACAGTTTGCAAGAAACTGGACTTCAGGCAACAAAAAAAGAAAACAAACACAGTCAGACCTATGATTGCCCCAGCTTATTGCTTTGGGTTAATTTCCAGGCTACAGCATAGGGAGGAAGAATCCAGGTGGAGCCTGGCAGACTCCCTGAGATGAGGAGATGGAACTGAGAGTCCAGGGAGATCAAAGTAGCTACAGTGCCCAGGAGAGAGTACTAGAGAGGAGAGCACTGCATGGAGAGAGAACTCCAGAGATCTGCAGTATTCAGCTGAATAATGAGCAGTGTGTACATGTGAGGAACTTATCTGAGACCAGGAAAGAAGCACCTGAAGGGATTGGAGGTGACAGTGCCAGGTGCTCATACAGGCTGGGTATCTGGTACCTGTTCCTACCAACCAGATTGGGAAACCTCAAGATTCACGGCCATCAGGTGGAGTACTCAGAAGGATCTTGCTTTACTAGTTAGGGGATAAACTAGACTGAGCACTGTTTTAGTCCTGCCTAACAAATTTTAAAAGAAAGATCTGAAGTGGGAGGGAGGGAGACGCAAGAGGGAAGACATATGGGAACATATGTATATGTATAACTGATTCACTTTGTTATAAAGCAGAAACTAACACACCATTGTAAAGCAATTATACCCCAATAAAGATGTTTAAAAAAAAAAAAAAAAAAAGAAAGATCTGAAAGGATCAAACTTTTCCCAAGTAACTTAACTGTGTTTCAGCTAAACAAATCTCAAAAATATTTATAGAAATTCAAAAATATCCAGCACCAAACAAGGTAAAATTCACAATGTCTCGCATTCAATCAAAATTAAAAGACATACATGAATGATACATAATTAGAGAACTCAATCAATGAAAACTAACCTCAAACTGACAAGACAGTAGCATTAGCAGACAAGGTCATTAAATTTGAAAAAATAATGGCCGAAAAATTGCCAAATTTGATGAAAATTATAAACTACAGATCCAAAAAACTCAACTCCAAGCAAAAGAAACATGAAGATACATAACTACTCCAAGACATAACATGATCTAACTGCTCAAAACCAATAATAGAGAAAATCTTAAAAACAGCCAGAAAAAAATATTGTGCCTCATATGATCTTTATGCACTTCTGCACATTTGCCCTTAGAAGACCACCCTACTTCATCACCTCCAATTAGGCACACATGAAAAGAGTCAAAAATATTCTCTTCAAATACCCAAGCTCACAAATTTCCTTAACTTTACACAAATTATTGGCTAGTAAGGAAATATTAATATTTGTGCTTGATTTATTCTGAGAACTAGTATCTCAAAAACCACTGTCATATATCCAAAAACAAACAGACCAACCAACCAACAGACAAGTTTTTTACTGGTTTGAGACTAGTTGATGACTTCCCATTTGCACCTAGGAAAGTGAGCTGATGAGACATTTCAATAGCCTATTCGTGGTTGTCTTTAACTCTTATATTCAAATTGCTTAATTATAAACAACTAAACCTCTAATAGAAGTGTAAAATTATTTTTAAAAATTTGAAAAATATACAGGATATCTAGTAAAAAGATTTTTTAAATAGTTGTCTATCTCCTATTTCATACAATCCTCTGTTCTTTCCAGCCCTTACTTCTTTGACATGTATCAATGAGTATTAAAAAAAGTCTTCAGCGCAGACGTAGAGAATGGACTTGAGGACATGGGGAGTGGGAAGGGTAAGCTGGGACGAAGTGAGAGAATGCCATGGACATATACACACTACCAAATGTAAAACGGATAGCTAGTGGGAAGCAGCCACATAGCACAGGGAGATCAGCTCAGTGCTTTGTGACCCCCTAGAGGGATGGGATAGGGAGGGTGGGAGGAAGACGCAAGAGGGAGGAGATATGGGGATATATGTATATGTATAGCTGATTCACTTTGTTATACAGCAGAAACTAACACACCATTGTAAAGCAATTATACTCCAATAAAGATGTTAAAAAAAAAAAGTCTTCAAAACAGAGTAAAGAAGAGGAAAATAAGTAAGAGATGAAACAGGGAGGGCCGTTCACTTGATTGAGCTCCTTGGTAGTAACTGCAAGTATATAATGACAAAGAAAATACCATTTCCCAATTAAACCAATTGAAACCAATCCTAATAAGAGCAAGTTTGCTATTGGAAAAGAGACTATGTCTTCTTGAGTTTTATCAGAATCACTTTGAAACGCTTTAGTTTACCTAATAGTTGTCACTGGACCCTAGGGGTCCACGATTCTCAGTTCGAATGAAATTTTTTCCTTTGCCTCTCCTTAGTTGGGCTGAAGTAGGCTAAAACTTTCAAATAGATTTTACTAAAATCTAAGTGAAACACAAACAAAGAACACAAGAAATGTAAAAACACTGGCATTTAGAATACAGGTCTCTGTTCAGTGGCTTCCTCCCAGGGTTCACCCCAAAGGCTCTCACCCATTCAGTATAGCCTAACCTCAGGAGTACTTTCACAGCTCCTTAACTGAATTCATGTTGTCAGTACTACCACAACTCAGCTCCTAGGAGACATCTTGCTATTACTGTGGAGAAGACTCAAGGAAGCAGGTTCTTATCGTTGTCTATCTAGGATTGTTCCTTCCCAGTCTGATCCAGGAATTTTTTTAAAAGATGCCTTTTACCATAATACCTTCATCCTTCAGGTAAGATTCCTCCACACATCCTAACAGGAATT